TTATTTTCTATTGTCTCTTTTTATAACTTTTATAAACAGTAATAATGCAATAAGTCTGTTTGTTGATTTCGTATTTATTTCCCTAGTTATACTTTTTCATAGTTTAAATGACCAAATTGAAGATGAAATATTTCTGCATACCGGATTTGCAGCTGAAGTTATTTGGTGCTAAATGTTACAGCGGATTTCAATTAGGTCTGCAGACCCACAAAAACAGTAATGTACATCGTATTTTTTTATTTATTTATTTTTTGTATAGTACTTTAAAAACATTTTTGATACAACATTTTCTATTCTTCAAGTTTTTTTGTGTGAATTTTTTCATTCTGTACTCCATAAAAATTTTTCAAGTTTCCATGTAAATACATTGTTGTCATAACTACATGTACGCTTGTTGCAAGCTGCCTTTAACGTTTTTTTTAATCCGTAATATTCAGATATTTTAAACAAAAATCAGTAAAAAGGATTGAAAAAGAATAAATTATATGTCTGTAAAGGTCAAAAGGTAATCGGATAAGGGGGGAAAAGAGAGCTGAAATTTTAAAGTTTAGGTATTAAACCGGTCAGTAATAAAATATTAACAGCCGGACAATTCTAAATATAATAATTTATAACTTAAAAGATATATCAGCTTAGCAAAAAGCAAAAAATTTTCTAAACTGATAAGCAATATTAAATAAATGAGCGAAGTTAATTGCAAAGCACGAGACTAGATTAGAAAAAAAGCTTAGTTTTATTTTTTTTCAAGATTACTCGTGGATAATAGTACAAACATTTGAGTGTCGCTTCAATTGAAGGTTGCTTAGCAGTGCAGAAGATTCATAAGCTGAGCATTTAGAAGGAGATTTTTGATTTAATTGATGCACTGCAATTACCGCAATCGCGATTAAACAGCAACATTTTTAATGATCAAAATAAAAATAAAGCAACCTTTGAGGGCACTATTAAGTGATTAAATGATACCAAATACAACAACGAGTTTAGACTTATGGTTCTGTGTAAACATATTAAAATGATGTTATTATACAGTTCTGAATAACCCAGTTTTGCATCCTGCTGATACCAGACCGTATTGCTCTTTTCCCCTAACAGCCACTTTCTTTGAGCAGAAAAATTTTCGTTATATAAGTTGGTAAAACTGCCTATAAATGAATCTTACTAGAAGACGAGTTTACACTGAAAAAGTAAAGAATAGTTTAATAGTCTAATGAAGGTTTACTGTAAAGCTCAAGGAGGATAAGACGTAAGCATTCAAAAAAAAAAAAAAAAAAAAAAAAAAAAAAAA